TGTAATCTATCTTGTGGTCTATTTTTGTTGATGTGGTTGAAAGAAAAATCATAATTTAAAAATCAGCATTCAAAGTAATCAGCTGTCACAAACAGTCCAGTGAAGTGAGTAAGCTTTTTGAGATCAATTCGCCTGCGTAATAAATCGTTATTATGCAGATAAAGCCTCCCACACTCAACATGTGATCCACCTCTATGATGTCAGCGATATATAAAGCCAAACAGGACATATTCAAACTGTATTAATGATGCTTACTAATGTTACCATGGTTACAGGAGTAAGTATGATGAAAAATACCGTATAATATATGACAGGTTATTAATGAGTACATACTACCGGATGTGTCAGTGAGCTATGTGATTAGTATAGAAACAGCATCAGAATAAATTGGCACTTCCTCCTATATTTCCAGCTCGGACTCTAAAGAGAAGGATGTGTTTTAACCCATGGCTTTAGAAATAACTGACTTCATAAATTGCATGTGTGCTGGTGCAAATGTCACTTCAATTGATGTGATGATTAATTAAGATTAATTGAGACAATTAATTTTATTTGATTCGATATATTTTTGTTCCAATTCCTCTGTTAATCCTCCACATGTCACATAGATTTGATCGAGTTAGTGGTTTCACTTATGTGGTAGACTTGCATCAGTTTGGACCTAATTATCCCCCGCAGCATGTTTTGCAGGGGTTATTAAAGTGCACTCTGTCCGTCCGTGTACATTTGTCTTTTCTGGAGCAGAACTTTAAAACCGTTCAGTATTTCTTTACAAGCTTGTCACATAGATAGATCTGGTGATGAACTGGTGCCTTTTGGTAGTTTTGCATTTCTGAATCAAACCTATTTTGCATTTCCATGGCAACAGAACTTTAAAACCTTTCAGCACTCTCCTTCCACTTTGCAATATAGTCACTGACTTGGTTGACACATATCATTGTATCCCAATTATGTACATTGCCATATCATTGTATCCCAATTGTGTAGATTGATGCTTATGCTTTTAGATCACTGGATTATCTGGTTCAGATTCTATCATTCACAGGCCGCTGCCATTTTGCTGGAATATTGCTGAGTGTGGCAAAAAACTAAATTCACTCATTCACTCACTCACTGACTGCTATGTACATCATTACATGCCAAAACATTTGACATAGTCATAACTAACTGACATATTCATGAAGAGTATTTTGCCATTACGGGGGATATTGATGACTTGGACTTCTTGTTTTCATTGTTTGGAACAGCCTCCAAACAGTGGTGTAGTGGAAGAGCGTCCGCCTGGAGAGCGGAAGGTCGCGGGTTTGATCCATGACCGCGTACTGTTTATACATGAGCTGATGTATTGTAAAACAAATTCGTGACGTTGAAAAGTTTATTGTCATGTGTTCAATAAATGATGAAACTCTGTGAAAAATAGCGATTTTTTTATCAAAGCTTTACACCAAAACGCAGCTGTTCACATGCACGATATTTGCACATGCTTTTCAGCAATTTGATGCATGATCCTCACGCAATTAATCTGCATAAGGTTTGCAGATGTTTCCCCGAAGTTAGTGGAGAAATTCATCTTCGTTGTAACCGTATGTACATACATAACGTATAGTGATTGATTTAAGCGAGTCTAAACTTTTGATGGGTAGTATATGTTACGACTGCCAACCTTTCATGTGAGGAAGATTTGCAGCATTGAGGTCCTGATATGACAATATAACATTCTATTTGGAAGAATTAATCATGAATTAAGAACATAGTCAGTGGAACCTGGAGTACAGCAACATATAAGTCCCTGAAATGTTACTGTAATTGATAATGATAAATTGTTTTGAAGTTCAGCATTGGTTCTCTGTTGTTGCCAAGGTTACCAGATTGGTAATCCATGTTATCTCACCACCCTGCATGTGCCCAGTCTGTGAGAAGGAATTTTGCAGTCTATGAGAAGAAATTTTGCAGCTTGTTCAGGTGGAAAAAAGGTTTATAAGCTGAACTAGATAGTGTAATTGCCATGGTTACTGTGAACTGAGTCATATGCTGATATTGGTTATGTCTCAGGCATATGGCAGACACTGTGGCAGTCAAAGACAGACCTCCATGCAGACAGACTCAGGCAGACTGAAACCAACAAGCATAACAGGAACAGACTGACTGGCACACTAGCAGACTGACTGGCATACTAGCAGACTGACTGGCATACTAGCAGACTGACCGGCATACTAGCAGACTGACCGGCATACTAGCAGACTGACTGGCATACTAGCAGACTGACTGACATACTAGCAGACTGACCGGCATACTAGCAGACTGACCGGCATACTAGCAGACTGACTGGCATACTAGCAGACTGACCGGCATACTAGCAGAGTGACTGGCACACTAGCAGACTGACCGGCATACTAGCAGACTGACTGGCATACTAGCAGACTGACTGACATACTAGCAGACTGACCGGCATACTAGCAGACTGACCGGCATACTAGCAGACTGACCGGCATACTAACAGACTGACTGACATACTAACAGACTGACTGACATACTAGCAGACTGACCGGCATACTAGCAGACGGACTGGCACACTAGCAGACTGACTGGCATACTAGCAGACTGACCAGCGAGCTAGCAGACTGACCGGCATACTAGCAGACTGACCGGCATACTAGCAGACTGACCGGCATACTAGCAGACTGACTGACATACTAACAGACTGACTGACATACTAGCAGACTGACTGGCATACTAGCAGACTGACTGGCATACTAGCAGACTGACTGGCATACTAGCAGACTGACTGGCAGACAGACTAGCAGACAGATTGTTTGACAAACTGGCAGGCATTCCAGTAAACATACTGGCATTAAAAATGACAGCCATACCAGCAGAAAGACCAGTGGACAAACAAGCAGGCAGGCAGAGTGCCGTCCATTCCAACTGACAAGGCAGGCATTCCAACAGTTAGTTAGTCCGATTAACTACAAGGTACATACAACTTCCAACTGGTATTTGATGTTTCTGATTGGTTCCAAATATAGTTACCAATGTCCCTTTGCGTGTGTTATTTTCCTAAACTTCCGGTACATGATTTCTGACCCATGCAGCCAGGCAGTGTGGCAGGCATGGAGGAAACACTTGTCATTTCTTGTTGGTTGCTAAGTTTGGAAAATGGAAACCGATTAACACGACCAAAGGTCAAGGGTGAAGGTTATGAATTTAGGGGTCGTCACCTGTGCTCTGGGGGTTCATGATGTACAGGAAGTGAAGACAACATAATGGCTGCTGATTGTCAAATATTTGCATGACTCTGTAGTGCTGACACATCAGAATTATTTATCAGGTTTACAGGAGAGAGTGAGTGAACAGATTAGTTTTACACGCTTTTAGCAGTTACTATTCTCGCAATATCATGGCAGGGGACACCAGAAATTGGCTCCACACATTGTACCCATAAGGGGAATCGAACCCAGGTCTTTGGTGTGATGAGCGAACGCTTTAACCACTAGGCTATTCACCACCCTCAGGTTTACTGGAGACTGACAAAATGCGTCAAGTTCTGTCCCCTGAGTTGTTCATGACGTTAAGTTGAAAGGGAAAGAATGCTTTTAACAGTTCGTGAATAACTGTTTGTGCCAAACTCTTTTGAGGCTACAAACTTTGCTGTTAACTTCATCATCATCAATTTAAATCAATTTTTTACTGTTATTCAGTGGACTAATATTTGTGAGGTTACTTGACCAAACATTATTTTCCTAGACTTAAGTTGTAGACTGCTGTTAGACAAGTGTGGTAGAGTTCTTAGTGATGAGGGCGGCGGGGTAGCCCAGTGGTCAAAGGGTTGGCTCGTCACGCCGAAGACCCGGGTTCGAATCCCCACATGGGTACAATGTGTGAAGCCCATTTCTGGTGTCCCCCGCTGTGATGTTGCTGGAATATTGCTAAAAGCGGCGTAAAACCAAACTCATTCAGTCAGTCTTAGTGATGAATGCTGAAAGTGGTGTTTGTCCTTGGACATTTGACACTTTGATGATGTTTGAGCTACGGGGGTCTGTACTTTTACAGCCAGTCTCGTGTTAAATTCACGAGTAGCATTTCTCAAACAACAATACATCCAGTGAACCATAACCTTGACCTTGAAGTAACTCTATAGGTGATAGTGTGTTCATTTGGGTTGGGGATTGCAGGGAGGTGAAGTAGAGGTGACAATATTGTTAGGTACGTCACACCTGATTGACTTTACGTACGTCTGTACTTACATCTGTGGGGTTTCTTGTCTGGAGTAGGTGCCCTAGGTCTGTACTGGTGGTGTGAGGAGACACAGGCGCTCACACTAAGGTACCAGGGTGATTGTGTGTCCTTGTAACCAAGGCTTTGATTCTGGTACACAAAACTAGTGTTGGGAATCGGAAACCAAATCCACTATCGATTATCAGAGGACTTATGGTGAATGATTATCAATTATTATCGAAACACATACTCATTTATTGTAATCTCCAAGTTTAATTTTTTTCCCAGTTTTTTTTCTTATTAATGTTAATGTAATTATTTTGTTTATCTATACAACAGCTATTTATCAGTATATCTCAGGGCTCCAGATAATTTTTCATGATCAGGAGTACGTACTCCTTATTTTTTCAATATAGGAGTACTGGAAAACCTTAAGAGTACATTTAGAGTATTGATTGGAATTTAATGGAGTATCAGTAATCTTGTGTTTCATATATTCACCACAACATTGCTACTCTTGTGTAAACAGGTCAATGAACAATGAAACAATACTTGTTCAGATAAATATGTCTGTAAATGATTCTAAGACCATACACCATTGCTGTGGTGCGTATCTGCTACATTTTCTAAATTATTTCCTACCGTATCGTGCATATTTTATATCTGTACATACGCTGATACGGCCCTTATCTGATCTCATTACGTTCACAATAGATCATCTAAGATGTAAAATTTATTCATAGACAGGTTACAGTAATATTTATCGTAGTGGTGAATACGAAACTATGAAAACAATGCACATAGCTTTAGGCAGTTGAGCGCATGTTTGTTCGTGAATATTCGTCAAATTTAATGGTTAGTTTACTTCATTCAAGTGTGTTATACTAAAACAACAAAAATTTCGATATATCGAAATTGATAATTATTTTTAATCCTTTTGATCGATTTTCAATTATTTTCAATCATCAGAAAACACCACTACACAAAACCGATCACTGGATTGTCTGACACAGACTAGATTCTTCACTGGCCTTGCATACAAAATGGAATGAGTGGGATAAAAACGAACAGATGTGCAAAACTTAGAATAACAATTGCGTGGCCATAATAAATGGCTCATATGTCTCCATGCTGGTAAGAGAACATTAAAATAAAACTCCGTGTGTTGGCATCCCATTTTTTGGACCAGGACACAATATATGGATTTACATCCCCTGTATCGCAATTCGTCCGATGCTTTACATTGCATGAAACTGTACAACAGATTACACAGATTTTCTAGTCATTTATTGCAAGCTATGAATAGCGTAACATTCACAGTAAGTTTTCCACAGGACAGCCTAAATGGTCCTGCCCTGCAGTATTCGTCTTTAACTTCTGAAATTTAAGATAAGCAATTCCAAAATGCGATTATTATACAAACACAAAGAATATCAACTCACTATATACAACTAATGTAATGGGGATACAAATCGTGTCACATCCATAGTACTGGGATATATCGCACTGAGACTACGTCGCATAAACACATCACAAAGTGTGAAGAGTTCAATACCATTCTGGACCCGTGAAGATCCGGGTTAGAATTGATCTTCAGTAACCCATGCTTGTCATAAGAGGCGATCGGGTGGTCAGGCTTGCTAACTTGGTTGACACATGATGTTGATCACTGGATTGTTTGGTCCAGATTCGATGATTTACAGACCGCCGTAATATAGCTGGAATATTGCTGAATGCGGCGTAAAACTAAACTCGCTCACGCACTGAGACTACATCACTCCGAGACTGCACCTTACGATAAAAATGACATGTGACCTAGCAGAGTGTGTGTCGGCACAACCTGACAACTGAGACCTGGCTTTAGTGTGCTCTTTCTATCACTCACTCGGATATTTGGTCCTCACTCATTTACCGACAGTACCGCCTCCGTGGTGTAGTGGTTAGAGCATCCACATGGAGAGCGGAAGGTTGCGGGTTCGATCTGTCATACCAAAAGACAATATGGTACTTGTTGGTCCCTGGTTGGCTCGGAGTCAGGATAATGTGTCTGAGTGGGGTATTCTTGCTTAACTGCGGCATGGCATCTCAGTGGGCTAGCACTATAGAACCAGCTTAAGTCTGGGCTAGTACAACAAGCAGCCACACATACACATACACACGCATGCAAGCGCGACATTAAACCCCATTTTACCTCACCTCACCTCACCATTTACAGACAACACCAGTATTAGGTGATTCTCCCCTTGACACAGATATAACCATTAAATTGGTCACTCGGCCAACCGTTTGTTAATACATTAATAACACTTCTATCTATCTTTGCATCAATACTCTCTGATAATGCTCACTATGTATCAGAGATGTACTGCATACAGGGTTGTATACAGATGGAGACACGGCACAATGCCTGCAATATGTGGAAATGTAGTTACGATTTATAGCTGAGGTAATATCAATATTGCAGTGTATTTTATTGCTCTTCCAGACCGAGATGTGATATTTGTAATAATGATGATAATTTATCCTCATAATATTGATGTCATTATTACATATAAATTTCCTTACATATATCACTGACATGCAGGTGATAAAATATAACCACTGTGACTTGCCTTGTCTTCTGACAGATACAGATGTCAATCCTTTTGACAATGTGGGGCAGTGGGGTAGCCTTGTGGTTATAGCTTTCGCTCGTCACGCCGAAGACCCGGGTTCGATTCCCCATATAGGTACAATGTGTGAAGCCCATATCTGCGGTAAAACCATACTCAACCTGGGTTGAGTCCCCACATGGGTACAATGTGTGAAGCCCATTTCTGGTGTCCCCTGCTGTGATATTACTAGAATAGTGCTAAAAGCGGCGTAAAACCATACTCAACCTGGGTTGATTCCCCACATGGGTACAATGTGTGAAGGGCATTTCTGGTGTCCCCTGCTGTGATATTGCCAGAATAGTGCTAAAAGCGGCGTAAAACCATACTCAACCTGGGTTGAAACAATAGGGCATTTCTGGTGTCACCTGCTGTGATATTGCCAGAATAGTGCTAAAAGCGGCGTGATACTATACTCACCCACTTTCACAATGGACCAATAGGCAGTCCAGGAAACTGCCAAGGATATATTCTATGCAAACACTCTTATCCTGTGTATAATACAATTTGAAATAAGTTGCCAAAATATCCAATATGCTTCCTCTTGTAAGCATGGATAGGAACAAATGCTGCCATCTCATGATTGAGTTCCACTTTTAATTTTCATGTGGAATCATTTAAATATTCAAGACACTGTTGGGGAGCTGCAGATTCATTTTGAATTAATGACTTATGCCACTTGTGCTAGGGTGCTGTACTGTGCTGTTTATTCATGTGTACCTTAGGTAGCTCTTGAACTGCATTTGGTAGCTCTTGAACTGCATTTTGTAGCTTGGAGCCCACATTTCGTAGTTTGGATCTCCAATATTGTAGCTAAGGGCTCCAATACTGTAGATTGGGACTTCCATATTGTAGCTAAGGGCTCCAATACTGTAGATTGGGACTTCCATATTGTAGCCTAGGGCTCCAATACTGTAGATTGGGACTTCCATATTGTAGCCTAGGGCTCCAATACTGTAGATTGGGACTTCCATATTGCCTAGGGCTCCCTATTGGGCTCCAATAGGGCCCAATGTAGATTGGGACTTCCATATTGTAGCCCAGGGCTCCAGTACTGTGGATTGGGACTTCCATATTGTAGCCTAGGGCTCCAATACTGTAGATTGGGACTTCCATATTGTAGCCTAGGGCTCCAATACTGTAGATTGGGACTTCCATATTGTAGCCCAGGGCTCCAATACTGTAGATTGGGACTTCCATATTGTAGCCTAGGGCTCCAATACTGTAGATTGGGACTTCCATATTGTAGCCTAGGGCTCCAATACTGTAGATTGGGATTGTAGCCTAGGGCTCCATGGATTGTAGCCTAGGGCTCCAATACCTGTGGGACTTCCATTGGGCCTAGGGCTCCAATACTGTCCATGGGACTGCATATTGTAGCCTAGGGCTCCAATACTGTGGATTGGGACTTGTAGGGCTCCAATACTGTAGATTGGGATTGGGACTTCCATTGTAGCCCTAGGGCTCCAATACTGTAGATTGGGACTTCCATATTGTAGCCTATATTGTAGCCTAGGGCTCCAATACTGTAGATTGGGACTTCCATATTGTAGCCCTAGGGCTCCAGATTACTGTGTAGATTGGGACTTCCATATTGTAGCCCTAGGGCTCCAATACTGTGGATTGGGACTTCCATATTGTAGCCTAGGGCTCCAATACTGTGTAGATTGGGACTTCCATATTGTAGCCCTAGGGCTCCAATACTGTGGGATTGGGACTCCAATACTGTAGATTGGGACTTCCATATTGTAGCCTAGGGCTCCAATACTGTAGATTGGGACTTCCATATTGTAGCCCAGGGCTCCAGTACTGTAGATTGGGACTTCCATATTGTAGCCGAGGGCTCCAATACTGTAGATTGGGACTTCCATATTGTAGCCTAGGGCTCCAATACTGTGGATGGGGACTTCCATTTCATAGCTTGGGATTTCCATTTTGTAGTTAAGGGCTCCGATTTGGTAGTTTGGATCTCTCATTTTGTAGGTTAGCGCTTCCATTTTGTTACTTGGGACCTTCATTTTGTATTTGGAACCAGATTTTTATAAAATACTTGGTGTATGAATCATGCAGAATCTGAAAAATTGAAATGTGAAGAAAAAATTAAAATTAGGTTTTTCATAACACCGAGGAGAAATGTGGAAACAACATTGCTTTTTTATGAATTTAATAATTAAAATACTGTCTTTAAAATGTGTTAAAAATATATTGTTAAAAATCCTACCCACTCTTAATTTTAGTATATGGTACCTGTTTAACGTTTTGAGGAAATGAAGAAATATATTTGAAAATAAACATTTTATATTTTTTACACCTATTAACCAACAGTATCCACCAGACTATCTAGTCTAACTACCATTAATTGAGTTGAACAGGGTTTGCCCCAACTTTGTCACCCTCCATGTGAACCGAGACGTTGGTCAATCACCATATCATTTCAATAGGACTTCGACATGCATCGGTGTGTGTCTAACTGAAACGAGACTTTGAATTGCTCTTTATTGTCACTTGAACATTATACATACCCTCAGCACAATTCAGTTAAATATGTCAGCATATAGCAACAGCGTAATAAATAACTTTCTCGTCTATCAATGAAATTATTGCTTCAATAAAGTACTGATCAACGAGATATATTTATTCGCCTCACTGGACATGTTATTGGAAACAGACTGTGTTGTTTCAGCTTGAAAAGCATAATATATTGAGGCTGGATGGGGAATTATTATCAGTTGTTAGTCAAGCAGTATTTTCCTTCCATTACACATTTGTGTATATGCATTTGGAAAATATGTGGGACTTTTTAAAACAAATATAGGTTAGTTCATTAAATCAATATTTGTGTATGACTAATGTTGGCAAACTGTAGACAAATATTCTCTGATATTATTTGAACATTTAGTCCAGTAATACTAGCAAAAGGGGCAGAACAAATTGCTATAAAAACAATTTTTGCTGGAGCATGTAAGTAGGTTGTGTACTTTTAACATGTCAAAAGTATAGAAAAGTATCATGAACAAATTTGTTCGAAAAAAGTTATTTTTTGTAATGCCAAATCGTGTACATCTGATACGGAAAAACAGATGGCCGCTGTTGCTCGCTGTGTTTCCGTAGATTGCATCACGTAAACAAGATGGCCGATCAGTGCACCGTCGCTGGCGGCTTAACGCAACCAGGGTAATTGTTTTCACACATTTACAAGTTAACTGGCATTATTAATATCTAATATATACATAAGTTGCATATAAGTTGCCGAGAATCATTGACTGTGTGGATACTGAACGATAGTTCGCTTCGAGCTGTTGACGCCATTCAACGTTCATGATACACAGTACAGATTTCACTAAAAACGATGCAAAAACAAACAGTGAAACATAATTTGAAATGTTATTACTTTCTAATTGTTAGAAAGGGAAAAAAAGCTTTATTCATTACCAAGACATCCCGTATAATCTCCAATATTAGCACAGACTTACTCTGTTTGAATTTTCAACCTATGGAAGCCTATTAGGACCATTATTTTCTCAAATTCATCTGTTTTTAGACCAGTTTTATGCGATTTCTTTTTATTCAGTGCATGAGCAGAAATACTATAAAGTACTGAGGGCACATTTGAATATTTCCACAAAAAATACGTAACTTCTGTTAAACGGACAGGTCGAGTGGGGTAATTTTTTGTGGAAACGAAATTCGAGGGGATCTTCCTGTTTGCACATCTACGATATTGTTACATGAGTCCATCTCATGACTTTATATGTGATGTGAATTATGCACATTGGAAAAGAAAACACAACGAGCAGTGAAGCCATTCATCTGGCGCTGAATGCGGTGTATTCGTACCCAAAACGATGAGTGAATTCATACCCACTTTTTTATTTAGGATTATTAGTAAATTGTTATGTAAAACATTAAACTGTAGTGATCATTAATTATGATTTTTACATCACTGTCACATAAATAATGTTATTTAATAATTGAAATTGATGATTTGATAATGTTCACGTTTGCAGTTTCACGTTTAATGGAAAGCCAAGTTGCACTGATGAGTCCTTGCGGGACAAAGATGTTTACGTGATAATAAACTAACGGGCAAAAGAAACGATACCAACATTTAATTTGATAATTTGGACTCGAACTCAAATTTTGTAGGTAGTTATGAGCTTAAAACAAACGCTACTAACGCTTCCCTAACATTTATCATGAAAAATGTTGTGTTTGGGCGAACAGTATCACTGCAACAGGTCGTGAAGCACGAAAATCTCGTGAACAGATTCGCACGAAGCACGTGCATCTTTAGGGTATAATTATATAAGAGTGCACACAAACCTTCCTCGACATCAGACCTTCGTCAACTTCATCGAGCAGGCCCCGATTATCGCAGGAATCCAGAGAGAGAGAGAGCCATTGGAATGGTACAGATGGGTACCACTCATGCACATGTTGCAGCGACCTTGGGCTGTACACGTCTAACCATCACGAGGCTAATGGCCCACTACAGGCAAACAGGGCGGACAGTAGACAGGCCCAGAAGTGGAAGACCTCGCGTCACCACCCGCCAACGAGAACCGCTACTTACGTATCCTGCACCTGAGATACCGTTTCCTACCTGTGACGTCATCAGCAGCGACTGGGCTTGGACATCCTATCAGTTGACGAACAGCAGCACGACGACTCAGACAATACGGTATCCGCGCCTTCAGGCCCTACCGTGGTGTACGTCTGACGCTTCAACATCAATGTCAACCGTTTGGTGGAGGCGGTGTTATCGTTTGGGGTGGCATATGTGACGATATGAAGACAGATCTTGTTGTGGTGGATGGAAATCTCACTGCTCAATGATGCATTGATCAAATTCTGCGTCCGGTTGTGCTGCTAATCCTACGTCAACACCGTAACCGGATCATGTTCCAGCAAGACAACGCCCGTCCTCATACAGCACATATTGTCATGGAGTTTCTACAGAGAAACAACGCCAATTTGCTTCTTTGGCCCTCCAGGTCACCTGACATGTCACCAATTGAACACTTGTGGGACCATCAGATTCGTGCTAGAGCCCTTGTTCCTGGAAACCGACGTCAGCTTGTCCAAGCCCTTCAAGAGGAATGGCGAAGGATCCCTGCCCAAGGTATTCGGCGTCTGACGTTCTCAGCACGTCGTAAAGTTAGGGTTTGCATTTATGTCTACGGTGGACATACCAGATACTGACCACCTATGTTATTTTGTTTACATCTGTGATCGAATACTGGACACTTCATTCCTTCATTTAAACAGTGACTCAATGTTATTAAGGAAATGACAGTGCATGTTGCCCATACAACTGTTATTAAAATTCACTGTCCTTTTTCATAATAGTGGTTTGTTGTTTTGTAATATCAGTGATTGTGACTTGGTATCGTTTCTTTTCCTATGAAGAATTAATCAAACTAAAGACTCTACCAAAGCACCCTATGAGCTTGTTATTACAACTTAATCTCCCTTGCTACGGCGTGATAAGACTGAACAGTCTAATGAACAATTAACTGTTGCATATGAGGCTATTTTAACAATATGTATGTTTTATTATAAATAATGTGAAGAATTGGTGAAAATATATTTCACACAAAACACACGAGTTACCTCCCCTAACAAAATGACGATCTTCCACTCGAATTGTCCCTTTAACAACACTGTTTATTTATGGAGTTTACAGACAGTAATTCAAAACGTTTCATGGCATTATTTGAGGTTTGTTTAAACACACTTCATTCCATTCAGTAATTATTATCAAATAATATGTTACGTGAGTGTACCTACTACATTTTCTGAGAATCATATTACAGTAGTTAAAGTTCGTGTAAGAGGGTAAATACGGTAAATACTTACATAAATGTTTATTTTCATACTGTCTGGTGTTCAACATACACATACAATGAAATGATAGTTGGAAATCCTTCGGTAACGGATACTAGATCAACCTGCTGTTATATATATTTATAAACTAGTAAATTGTAAAGAGAATTATATTCTAATTACTTGTATTTATTTTAAATATGGTAAATTTATGTTTTTAATTACAAATCATCTATAGAATTAATAAGTTGAGCACTAAAAATTGAATTTATGTGATACATGCCCTTTTACGTGACATATCTCTGCGTAGTGTAGTCATTCTATCGCTCTTGGGACGAATTAACACGCACGTGCGTTTTGGCGGGACAAATACAATTTTCGTTCATTATACAGTCCTATACTTTTGATATCTTAAAATACATATTATGAGGATTACAATACAGAAGAGTTAGCTTTTATTGCAATTTGTTCTAGGTTTAGCTGTAGATGAGCTAGATTGACTGGACTATTTCCCAGGTTTCCAGACTTGCCATTTTTGTTGTTTAGTGCTGCACTCAGCATTGGGTATGCACAGTACACTTATGCATAAATTAAAGTCATGTGACTTTGGTCTTTGTGCTCAGTGCACTTACATGTTACACAAAAGTAAATGTTTTCCCATAGACTTCAATAGTAACGTTATATTGTCTTAAAACATAACCAAGTCATTATCAGCCATTAAATACCTACTTGAAAATATCTCTGCACACATTCAGCATGAGTAATTGTGTTAAAAAGACAACACTAAATATAAAACATATGGTCAGATTTAATCACTTAATGGATGTACATTTAAAAAACACAACAAATTTACACAAAATCTCTCAGTCACAGCCGTCAGCTGATTCTGCCTGCACCGAAGTCGCCCTACAAAAAGTAGTTGTCTGATTTGCTGTAGTGTAACGTCGACATAATTTGAAATCGTGCGACTTTAAGAGAGAATGATGTATGGACTCCCACCTACCATTCTCATATTACTGGGATGTGTTTACTTTGTTTTTTGCTTTACTGCTGTGTTGGTTAGAGACGACAATCCATTGGTAATTTACACGTTGAGTTTTACTGGCACAGCTGTTACAGGGTCAGCTTTCCTTTCATACCTTATAGACCCATGAAGATCCGGGTTAGAATGAATCTTCAGTAACCCATGCTTGTCGTAAGAGGAGACTAATGGGATCAGGTGGTCAGGCTCGCTGGCTTGGTTGACACAGGCTATTCCAGCTATATGGCGTCTGTCTGTAAATAATCGAGTCTGGACCAGACAATCCCGTGATCAACAGCATGAGCATCGTTCTACGCAATTGGGATACGATGATATGTGTCATCCCAGTCAGTGAGTCTGACCACCTGATCCCGTTAATCGTCTCTTATGACAAGCATGTGTTACTGAAGATCAGTTCTTACCCAGATCTTCACGGGTCCAGAATGGTATTAAGCTCTTTACACATTGTGATGTCATTGAATTACAGCTGTATGACGCTGGGCCCCGTTTCACAAAGCTCTCGTAAGCCTAAGATCTCGTAACTTTTCTCGTAGCAATCGTACCTCCTATACTGTAGCATAGACCGACAGTCATAGAGCTACGATAGCTTTATGAAACAGGGCCCTGGTCTGTAAGTAATCAAGTCCAGAGATTGATATCAAGAGCATCAAACTGCACAACTAGGACACAATGACATGTATCACCCAAGTCTGTGAGCCGCTTATAACAAACATGAGCTGCTGAAGATCAGTTCTACAAAGTGGGTTGAGCAAGTATACATCATATCAGTGTATGGAACTTTAGGGAAAGTAGTTTCTGCAAAATGCAGAATTTGACAGTGGTCTTTAAGAATCATTTCTGGATTAGACAGTCCAGTGATTGACGGAATGATTATCCTGTAATATGACAATGCACAGAGCACCTTTCACTGAGCCTAACCATACACCCATTTTTGTAGATTAAGATTGCTTGGGACCATTCTTGCCAGGAATCGCCATCTTTGATTTAATCATTCCTGTTAGGGCGTGTGTAAACTTGTGCACACAAAATGTTTTACAGACATATTGACACAGCCTTGATTGTTTCTTCCTAATTCAGAGGGCGGTGGGGTAGCCTAGTGGTTAAAGTGTTTGCCCGTCATGCTGAAGGCCCGGGTTCGATTCCCACATGGGTACAATGTGTAAAGCCCATTTTCTGGCATCCCCCGCCGTGGTATTGCTGGAATATTGCTGAAAGTGGCGTAAACCTAAGCACTCTTGCTCACAATTCAGGTTCAGGAGGTTATTTGTCTTGTGCTTGTTTTCCAAGTATTGCATGAGGACATTTTAAATGTGGCCTTTGGAGGAGTTCTAACTATTGATGCATTTGGGCAACAAAAACTTACCTTAACCAAGTCGTTACGATTTCCGATCTGTCATCAGCAACTGAATGCAATAAATTTTGTCTGGTCCAGACTTGATTATTTACAGACCGCCGTCATATAGCTGGAATATTGCTGAGTGCAGATTTAAACAACAAACAAACAATGAATTTTGAACAGTTCGGTCATGGGTCCATATACTTGTAATACCATCGTCCATGTCTACGACCTGTGAAGGTCTTCTTGTCATAAGAGGTGACTAACAGGATCAGGTGGTCAGTCTCGCAGACTGGGTTCCAACAGTAGCCTTGAAAACTCGTCAATTATCGGATTTGATAATGCTGTATTCATGTTCAAACTCATGTTAATTTATTAGCTCCAACAAATGCATTACCGTGTGTGTATTTGTAAACAGAGAGTTCATTAATGATTACATGGTTGAAAACTTAAACCAACTGATCTCTGTTTGATGAAATAATTACAAAACAAAATTTTATTGTTTACACATGGTGGGGTTGCATGAAATTATTCAGAATGAAATTGAACTGCAGGCAACTGAGAAAACAAAAGCTGTCTATTGTTTGTTGTATATTAGGTTCGACCTGGTTGTGGTTTAAGGTAACAGTGTGTTAGTTGGCACTGTACTTGTTGTCATGCATGCCACAACAGTAGTAAACATGTCCGA